TAGAAAGTAGCATGGTAAGATTGTTGTCCCGGGCCGGATATGCACTTCGAATTAAAGAGAATTGCCGTCTTTGGACGGCATAAGCGATCTGCCCAAAACCATTTGCTAGGACACTTCCAATCTTTAATTAAGCGTAGTCTAACCGCCATAGGTGATCATAGCATCATTTTACTCGGCAATCGCGCCACAGTATGCATACGTTTAGTGTTTATCTCTTCCTCAATTAGTTAAACTGAGTTGTCGAAGGTAAGGTCGTCTGGGAATGACGCCGCATTATTAAAACCTACCCATTTAAGTTTATAAGTTTCTCAGAGTAGTGTATTAAGGCAGATCACTGTAAACACTATTTTTCTTAAAATAAAACCGTACCTTAAGTAGCGGGCTTTTCGCTGCGTTGTTGCCGATTCACGCGATTTGAACACACATCGCACGTTGTATCACGAGTCCGGACTCTGACCGTGCTTGTATTATACATGGACACTGTAAAATACCAATTGAAAGACGTGATTTACCCAAAAATAGCTATTTCAATAAATCTGCCATATTTTAGCAGCTCCGTCGAAAAAGCTGCTTCATGGAAAACTCAGTTGCAGTGCTGAGCCCGACTCCGTGCCTCAGTGTACAAAACAAAGTTGCAGCACGAATAGCGCTGCTGCGAGTCGCACCTGTTTTGCACGTATTTAAGTCTTTAATAATACAATTACCGGTGCGTACAAGTACATGTCTTTTGTACTCCACTCATCAACGGCGGACCACCGGACTCAACGTCACGAAGCCTTCCCAATGACCGCCTGGTTCAACTCCTGACTGTCTACGCAGGGTAGTACGCTCGTCACGACGGAACGCAAATGGGGATACGGTCCTTACAAGAACATGTTCACGAAGATTTTGAAAACATGAAGTAAGAAAAGACCAAGCGCAGCGTGCACCGTCACAGTGTCACTGTGTCTTAATACAAAACGCATTGAAGCTGTAGCAGACGCGAGCGGTGTACGTGTAGACGAAAACCCACAGCACTCTTATGCATCACTCCCGTATGTTGTGTAGAGACCCCGATATGGCTGGTTGTTGGATGGAGACCACAGCTTCATGTCGTCCCTTCAACGGATCGATGCCAACGTGTCCCCAATCTGTCATGCGCTCGTGGCGCAAGCCTCGTGCTGCGAAATATCCACAGTCTCGCCAGTGCCGATTTGACAGAGATCTGTTTACGTCGAGTTGGTGAACAATGGCATCATCAGACCAATCTATGAGCAAGTACGCCAACGGTAGTGACCGTAGAGTTCCGAATCACAACCCATTCGACCGTCCCCGAGCGATGGATCGTCGTGTAGCTTACGTCGGCGAAGGTCTCATTGACCCGAACGGACTTGACAGTCTGGACAACCTCGGAGATATCGACATCGACCACAAGTCTCCTCAACGTCGTCGCGAGGTGCTGGATGACTTGGCAATCGATGTTGGAGAAAAGTACCTTGACGACATTTATAAGGAAGATACAGACGGTGCGGACGAGAACAAAGCGGCAGAACAGGTTCGACATCACTTGGCCGCGTCTTCGATCAATGGCCACGAGGTAGGACACAAAGAACGAGTCCGGACAGAGAAGGAGTTAGCGTGGCTGAAGGTGAGACAGCTCCTGATCGAAGAAGAAGAGAAGGCCTCGACACACGAGCGACGACACGCGAAGAGCATCAGTCGATCCGCGGAACGCTCTGCAGTTCGTAGCGACGCAAGTGACGGTAAGAGCTGCAATACCGTTAGGCTTTTGGATTCCATGGCGGCGTACACGCCCCAGCCACCCCAGCCACCCCAACTCCTCTCGCTCAACAGCAACAGGTCACGCCCTGAAGTGGAAGTCCAGCCACCGCAGACATTTGCGAGTAAACTCGCCCAATTTCTAGGCGCAGGATCCGTCTTAGACAGCGAGAGTACCAGCTCGAAATCGTCGCGTTCTTTGCCCGGATACAGCGGCAACTCGCCTACCCGATGGCAGCTCTTGGCGACGCTAGAACAGGTGACCAAAACCTGTCAAAGAATGGAGCTGTCTGAGGCAACGATGGCTCGAGTGTCAGAGCATTTAAACTCGATCGATCAGGTCGTGCGGGAGGATTTGAGTACCAACCAGAGCAGGAGTCGTCGACTCTCTAGCACACAGGCATCCAGCGGCTCGACCGATTCACTCGACACGTATTCCGTGGTAGATATACCGCCCTCGTACCCTCAAACTGACGTGGCGCCAACCGTTCGCGAGTCTTTCAAAGCCTTCGCTTCCGGTCAAGACCTGCGCGACACGTTGGCCGCATTCAACAATTTGCTGGCCGATTGTTGTCTCGATGGCGTGAAGTTGCAGGAGCCGTGGCACGTGTACTACCACATCCGAGACGCCGTTTACAGCAAGCTCGGTTTCCGCCACAAACAGCTCTTCAAGCTCCTGGACGTGCGATTCAGTCTGGACGTATTCAAACGACGTCCTTGCGCTAACAAACGCGTATGTATCGTCGGTGCCGGACCCGTGGGGCTGCGCGCCGCAATTGAGCTGGCACTACTCGGTGGTAAAGTGACAGTCCTCGAGAAACGGACCAAGTTCAGTCGAGAAAATATGCTCCACCTGTGGCCGTGGGTCGTCCAAGATCTGGCGTCTCTAGGAGCGAAAGTTCTGTTCAAGAACTTCTGCAAATCCCGGACGTATTTCCACGTGAGCACACGACAGCTGCAGGTGGTTCTACTCAAGGTGGCTCTATTAGTGGGCGTCAAAGTCTACTCTGCTACAGGCTTCAAGTCGATAGTTTCGCCAGAGGAGAACGGTGGCAACCCGTTCTACAGTATCAAGACAGAGCCTCAGATCCCAGTCGCAGAGTACACGGCGGTGCTCGGTGCGACCGGGACGAACGACCTGGTCGCGGAGTCTGCAGGTATCACCCGCTTCGTATTCTCTCGGAACGAATCTCTGGGTATCGTGTGCTACTTCCCGAACCTGGAGACGACGGACGAACTGAAGACGAAGGAGTTTTCGTGGACCACTCGACTCAAACATCACATGTTAGACAAGATGCGCGACGTCGGCATTGATCTCGAGAACGTCGTGTACTTTCGAGGAGATATGCACTATCTGGTCATGACGCCAAAGCGTCAGAACCTGCTGATCCATGATGTGGTGAAGCAAAACTATGCAGACGCGAAAGATCTGGTGCGGAAGGAGAACGTCAATCATGATGCGCTCAATGTGTTTGTCAAGAATATCGTCAGGTTTGCGGGTATCACTCGAAAGACGGACTTCACGAGGGTAAATCTCATCGACTTTAGCCAGCTGACACGAGCTGATAAGGCTGCAAATATCTTGGTATCGCAAGGTAAAAAGCTCTACGTTGGGCTCGTCGGTGACTCGCTGTTGGAGCCTGTGTGGCACGAGGGTGTTGGTACTTGCCGAGGGTTCCTGAGTGCGTTGGATGGCGCCTGGATGATTGCTCGTATCGGAAGAAAGACAGACGAACAGCTACTCGCAGAACGACATTTTGCTTACCAGGTGATGCAGCGTCTCGCAGGCCACCACCGTGATGAGATGCAGAAGAATGTGAGGAAGTACACAGTGAATCCGAAGACGCGTTATACATGTAAAGTCGACTTCCGTGGCTGAGCGATACAAATGAGTCGGCCACGTAGACTTCATAATCGGTTGATTTTTAATATCTAATACTATAATACGTATTAAAATATTATTATTTGTATTTGTGGTGCCTGTAAAGCTTCTACTAAAACAGCTGGCATTTTTCCAATAATAACCAAGGTATTAATAAATATCCTTAAGTAAAATGCAAAAAGTCACGAGCAGGTCCTGACCTAAGGACCTGGTATCTGGAGGTACAGACAACGACGGTGAAACTCAACCCCCAGTAGACATGCATTTTCAAGTCATTTTTAGAAAAGCCAACAAGACAAAAAAACTCGACCCCTTTCGTGGTATCACCTGCGATTGGTCAAAATTAAACCGACCCAACAGTTTATTAAAAGTCGAAAAAACAATTTAAACAAACACCGTAAAAAAAGCAAAAACATTTACTTTTTTGCTCTACACCATCACGACAGGGTGTTTTGGGATTGCTTTTTCAAAGCTTTTAATAACACATTCCGTAGATATGTTTTCCCACGCTCTAATTGTGCGTGTTACGGCAGCCAGACGCTTTTCCTTCGCGGTTCTTGTAACTGTTACCTTCTCTCGTAGCCATTCAGCTGTCAACTTTTTCTTGAGTGGCCCCATAACGCCCACGTCAAGGGGCTGACTCACAGAGGTGCTGTTAGCAGGCACGGGGACCACAATTGCAGAGGTCTTCTCCGCCACAACGCTTTACCCGACTTTGGAAATATGCGAGTCAAAATTGTCCAGCAAGAGGATTGACAAGGCATCAATCTCGTACTTTAGCAAGTTCAAAACGTACGTTTGCCACACTGTGGCGTTCATCCAGCCATTTTCTTGGACGGTGTACACGTGGCCTGCAGGATACGTCGGAAGTTCATCCGTCGTCACAGTCCCGCCCGGCATTCCTCGTAGTATAAACAGTATTGGTAGTTTTTTCTTTAAAATATAACTAAGTTTGTTTAAACATAATAAAATCATTAAATCATTAAACAAAACTTACCATCCGCTCTAATGGTGAGAACTGCAGCGAGTCTACCAGAGTTTTTCTGCGTGTGCTTCACTTTAGCGGAGCCACGACGGCCTTTGAGGGCCCAAATCTTGTGGGGTGGGGTGTCAAAATATATTGCTGTCTCGTCGACATTGTATATGGCGGATTGCTGGAAGTGAGAATGCTGTTTCCAAAACTCTACGGCAAAGTTCAAATGGATTTCTTGTAGTGCATCTTCATCCTTTTTAGTAAACTGCGGTTTCTGAACAGAAAACCCATGGCTATAACATTAAGAAAAATATGTAAGCTATAAATATTGATTAAAAACACAAATAAAATAGGATAAATTGCTAAAACGTTTGATTAAACCAACATATTGGAAAACGAGATGCTTACCGAGCTGCAAACCGCTGGCACATACGCATCAACGCGCTCAATGCGCGCTCAGGAGATGATTTATCGGCTAAATACTGCTCCAGCCAAGCCCCCTGCTCCATCTTCATATACTCGATCATGCCTCCAGTACACAAATACTATATCTACACGTTAGAATCTGCAATAAATAATATAACAAAACAAATTTACCTCTTCATCCCGACGGACGTCTTTCATGAAGGTGACCAATTCGTGCTCAAATGTGATTTTAGTCTTTGCGCCTTGTCCTTTTGTCGTTCTGCTAGTTTGAGGTCCCTTAAACTCAAACAGCAGTTTTGCCTTCTTTCTTCAGCCCTTCAACGTACCTAATTAAATATTAAGCGCCCGAGCGGTAGGTTTACATCCCTCCAGAGCCACCCGCTCGAGCGCTTCCCGTCTCTGCTTGACGGTGTAGCTGGTCTGCCGACGACGTTCGTCCATCACTTCGCAGAAACAGCAATAGCGTGATTGTTTAAACGGCGCCAGCATGGTGTGCTGTCCAGCAATATATTTGAAAGTATATTATTGGCTAAATTTTCAAATAACATTTTTACTTGAGTTTAAAGCTGCACTGTATGGGGGGTCGAGTTTTTGTGGGGGGTTGAGTTTCACCGTCGTTGTCTGTACAGGTGGGTTTTGACTTAATATCTGCACATACCAGCACTTAGGTCGTGACCTAAATACTGCGCGTTCATTGGAGAATTCGTCACAATTTTTTGGCTGGGCTTCCTTCTTTGCTGATAGTCCAAGTAGTAGCAAACAAGGCATGGCAATCTGCCGTTTGGACGCAGCGCAGAATACGAGCTTGAGATTGACTTTAGAGGCCTGTTAGAGCTACATACAAGGCGTGCATGTAGGGGCATGCAACGGTGCGGCAGCGTCCATCTCCAACGCCACGACAAAAGATCCTCCTCGGTCACCGCCACGCCCGGATCCACGACCTCGACGCAAGTTCTGACCACTGCAGATCCAACCCCAAGTAGCACCGGAAATAACACCGCCCACGTCTGAGATGCCCACTGCCACTGCTAAGGCACCGACGATCACTGCATACATTGATACGACAGCAGCAGCGGTGTCGTCATCGACGTTAGCCCTTAAAGGTACACGCACGTCTCGACAACTTCTAGAGCTAGCTGGATTTTATCACCTCGGAGCACTGCTGCTGCAAGACCATCACGTACTTGTACCCCGGATTACGCTTTTAGTGCAAGCCCATACATCCGCGCGATACACAGCGTCGTTTTGCTAAATCTAATGCATCAGCTAGTATCATGGCTGCGTTACGATTTAATTTTTTCGAAGCAAGTTGCTGCTCTAAACTCAAGATCAGTTATGGTCCACTTCAAGGTAAGTATTGTACTTTGTTCAAAACAAATTGAAACTAATTTTTATCATCGCGATCAATATTGCGTAGCCATTTCGAAAATGCGTCGATACTTTTACGACCACGTTCAGCATCAGCCTTTTCGATGGATGATTGGACAGACAGCCCGCTTCGCACAAGACGTTGGACGTACTTGATGACCAACAAGCGTCTTGAAAAGAACTTTGATTCTTATGCCGAAGATCTCCACTTTGTTCCGTACGTGCGCTCTAGCGTTTCAATAGAAGGCTGGTTCACCAATCCGTCGTGCCATTCAGTCCATAACTCGCGTACAGTTGATACACCACGACGCATGGTATATTGGACAAGATTACAGCTCGACGATGACACTTGCTGATGAGTAGGTTCTATGGAATGGGCTCTCCCAAGTTGCATATGTAGGTAGTTTATAGG